CTAGGTTGCAGGTTTGATCCCCACCCCTAGTCCAGGGGTGTGTGTGTGCTAGGCAACCAATCGATGTGTCTCTCTGACATCGATGTTTCTCTTCTCTCTCCCTCCCTCTCCCTCCTTCCTCCCTTCCATCTGAAAAGCAATGGAAACAATATCCTCACTCCTCAGGTGAGGATTAAAAAAAACAAAACAAAAAAATGCTCCTACCTTCATGAAGGAAAGAGAAAGTAACCAAATAACTGGGGGGCAGGGGGGGACAGGGAAGACAGTTTATTTGTTTCTGGTTTTGTTTTAAGGGGAGTTAAATAGATAAGAAAGGAATAAATATGGGGGGAAATATATTCACTGCCAATTTTTAAAGTGTAAGAACCTAAGAATATGTATATATAGTTTGGCTTCTAGAGTGATCACATCTAAAATATATAAAGACCCAGGGAAAAGTAACATTGTAAGGGGAGATGAAATGTTCTTAGGATATTTTACATGTTTAGCCTGGACTGATAAGTGAGATAGAGTAAATGCCAGATTCCACATTGCTATGACAGCATCATATTACTAATTTTTTTAGGGCTGGTGCTCCCATTCAAATAATTCATTTTAAGCCTAGGCTCTGCCTCACATCTGACCTGTGTAGCCACATGATTGCCATATAAAATGTGTAGACTCATTTCAGTTTAAATAGCTTTCATTGTTGTTTGTAGCTCTAGATTCTCATTCCAGGTGCTTTAGTGAAATCACCATTAGATGTCAGTAAATGTAATACTGTATCTTTGACTAGTTGTAAAGCCTGATTTTTAAAAATAGTTTTTTATTGATTTCAAAAAGGGAGAGGGAGAGAGAGATGGAAACATCAATAATGAGAGAGAATCATTGATTGGCTGCCTCCTGCACGCCACGCCCCCCACTGGGGATGGAGCCCCCAACCCAGGCATGTGCCCTTGGCAGGAATCAAACCCGGCCACTCTATCCAGAGCCAAACTGGCTACAGCTAAAGATTTTTAATGGATCAATTATCCATATAGACTAGAATAAAAAGTTAGGATTCATTTCTAAAGTCTTTCTCTATTTGACCTATGTTTGATCAATAAATATTTCTAAATTTCCTTTGGTGAACCCCAGGCCTGTTTGGCCCTGAGAGAGTAATGCAGGGGAGCACACAAGCAGAAATGGGGATCTGGTTCTTCCAACTCCAGGTCCAGTATTCCTCGGTGAAGTTTTTATAAAGTGCTAGGCCAGGCAGAGAAAAAAATCTAAAATGTTTTGTCATGTTTCTCTAAGTCTTATATTCAGTAGAACGGATACTTGGGGGGATACTTGGTTTGTCTTTTCCCTCAGCATTGGATGCTGACCCTCCATTCACCCCCAAGTTACTGGTCCAGTTTGGCTCCAGAATACTGAACTAGAATCACCGCAGGTGAAGCCCAGAGGGTCTGGCTGGAGCCTGGCATGCCAGGCCCGCTGGCTTTTCTGCTTGCTGGGCCTCATCAGGGAAAACTGCACACACAGGGCAGGCAGGGGCTGCATTTCCCTGTGTGCAGGATGCGTGAAATGTGAGCCCAGCAGGGGCAGAGGCCTGCAGGGGACCCTGGGTGAAAGCTAAGTGCTCTGGAGGATGGTGAGCAAATATTGGAAGCACAGAGATTATTGAGTTGTGAGCCATGGTTTCAGGGAAGTCAGTGCAAGAGGGAGCTGTTAGGTCCCATGCCCAGGAAGAAGTTTGCATTCTTTAGTCTTTTTCTCTCCATTTTACTCACTGTTTTAAAGCAAAACAATGCTGAATCAAGGTCAAATTCTAGGCAATACATATAAGCCTAACCAATGGACACAGACACCAGGGGTTGAGGGCAGGGGGGGGGGAGTAGAGGGGTAATGGAGGGATAAGGACACATATGTAATACCTTAATCCAGTGGTTCTCAACCTTCTGGCCCTTTAAATACAGTTCCTCATGTTGTGACCCAACCATAAAATTATTTTCGTTGCTACTTCATAACTGTAATGTTGCTACTGTTATGAATCGTAATGTAAATATCTGATATGCAGGATGGTCTTAGGCGACCCCTGTGAAAGGGTCGTTCGACCGCCAAAGGGGTCACGACCCACAGGTTGAGAACCGCTGCCTTAATCAATAAAGAAAAAAAAAATTCTAGGCAATAACTTCATACCTGTGTGATTAGCTGCATTTAGAATCATTGAATGCAAGAGCCAGCACATGGAACATTCACCAGGATCGCTGATAGTCTGGGCCATAAAACACACCTCAACAATTAAAAAAGAAAGAAATCACACAATGTCTGCCGTCAAGCCACAATGGAATTAAACTAGAAATCAATAATAGAAAAATGGCTGCATGCAAGAGGCAGAAGGAATCTTAGGGGTCAGCTAGGGCAGTCACTTCCTACTTCAGAGGCAGAAACAGGCCCCAGAGAAGTGAAGGGACTTGTCTAGGGCTGCACAGCAAGTCAGTGCCTGAGCCTGGAGGAGGACCCCATGATCTGCTGCCTCTGCTCCATGTTATCACTCGTTCGGGAGTTTCACATGTAGCGCTGTCAGCTTTCTAACGGTGGTCCTGCCCTGATTTTCATCCTGCCCTTGGAGAGCATGTGGAATTAGGTTAATGTCAGAGGAGAAAGTAAGAAAGTAAAATAAAATCCCCTTTCCCACTCTCCTGCAGTGAATATAGGGAGTGTGAACTGAAAGGAGGTGGCGGGAAGTACCCGGCACCAGGATCAGGCTGCCATCCTTGACTATCCATAGGAAGGAAGACTGGTTCTTTCTCCCGTGGTTCATTGAACCCATTACAGAAGCCCATCCAGGGCTTCATAGAGTCTGGGCGCTGAGTGGGATGACCCAGGGCTCTGAACTGGACCTGATGTTACAGGATCCTAGACAGTCAGGGCTGAAAAGGAGAAACCTTCTCCCATTTTATAAGTGTGGAGGCTGAGGGACAGTGAGAGTTTCAAGTATCATAACTGTTACCAGTAGCATCCCTGTCATCGTTTGTGAAACGTGTTCCATGTGTCAGGCCTTTCACATATATTATCACATTTGATCATCACAACAAAATACTGAGGAAGGCATTGTGCCCGTTTTACAGAGGGGGAAACTGACGCTCAGAAAAGCGAAGTCATTTGCCCCAGATAACTAAAGTAAGCAGCACAGCTACACTGCTTCACAAATAAGGGGCCTGGACAAATCAAGGATTAAAGTAGCTCAGCTCCTTGTCCGATGTTTCTTTTGTTACTTCATGATGCCTCTTGGGAAAGCACAAAAGGGTGTGTGTGTGGGGGGGGAAGCCCCATTAAGACAAGTGCCTCATTTCCTCATACCTAAGTAGTTCTACAATAAGGACCTGGCTGCTTATTGGCTGATTCGCCGTGGTCGGCAAACTGCGGCTCGCGAGCCACATGCGGCTCTTTGGCCCCTTGAGTGTGGCTCTTCCTAAGCCTTAGGAGTACCCGAATTAAGTTAATAACAATGGACCTACCTATATAGTTTAAGTTTAAAAAATTTGGCTCTCAAAAGAAATTTCAATCGTTGTACTGTTGATATTTGGCTCTGTTGACTAATGAGTTTGCCGACCACTAGATTGTGGCAAGTCTAGGCGCTCCCTTGACCCTTCTTTCATCGAAGAGTATTCAACAACTACTGATTGAGAGTCAATCAGGTGCCAGTCACTGTGCTGCTGACAAAACATGGGACCAAATGAATGCATACCTGGAGACCTCCAATTAGAGCAAAATAAAATGCTTTCTTAAAACTATACCATGGGCTACCAGCTAGTAACATCAGGCATATTAACAGCTGGGACTGGAAACCACAAGGCCACGTGGAAGTCTTGGCTATACCACTGTTGGAAACTCTCAGACTCTCTGAGCTTCTCTGGGCCTCAGTGTCCTCATTTGTAAAAGGAGAATTAAAATCCACACCCCAGGAGGATTAACCTAGAGAAGGGATGCGAAAGCACCCGCAGCTCTTAGTGCGAAGGAAATGATGTGCATATTTACATGCGTGCTGTGCAGATCTGTCTGTGCTGGTCATTGTCCCTTGATGATTACCTTGCTGTATCAATCTTTTTGCCTGAAGTAGGAAAGATTGTCTTCCGGTGATTCAGGCAAAACCCTGACTCTACCAGAATAGCCAAAAGCTGGGTAGAGACTTTATTCCTACTTGTATCTTTCTTCTCCTGGGACTTTCTAGATCAATTCTGTTCAATAGAATGCTCGGCAGTGATGGAAATGTTCTCTATCGCATGTGGCTGTTGAGCTTGAAATGTGGCTGGTGTGACTGAGGAACTGAATTTTTATTTTAACTTCATTAATTTAAGTAGCCACAGTCCTGAGTCTGATGGCACACAGCCGCCTGGGCCCTGCCACTGAGACGCCCTCCCTGCTCCTCTTCCTGGTTTGTCTCTCTCACAGAAATCTGTCTACAGCAAGCGAAAATCATTCTCTTCTCCTCTTCCTTAGTTCTGTCTGGCACATTCCCTGGTGTTGCTGATGCTGCTGGTGCAGGGACCACGCTTTGAGAACCATGGATTAATTACGTATCTTGTTTGGAGGCAGCTGTACTTTAGTGGAGTCAGTAGATGCTGGAGGTTCACTCAGACACAAACCCCTGAGATATTGGTTCTCAACACTGGCTGCCCTTGGGAATCACCAATGATCAGTCCTCAACCCAGGCCAGTTAAATTAGAATCTCTGTGGCGACAACCCAGACATGAGTGTTTTTAAAGCTCCCCAGATGATTGCAGTCAGCACTGAAAACCACTGCACTGATGGGACTTCAGCAAATTTCTTTGTCTATTAAATGATAACAACCTTCACTCTGTATCATGGGGCCACTGTGAGAATCAGATGAGACTGTGAATGCAAAGGGTTTTATCAACTGTGGGACCTGAAAGTAAGGATTCAGGCCTAGACAGCCATGGGAGAGCCCATTTGCAAATGATGCTGTCATCCCCGTTGAACTGAGATAACGCTGCTGCCTGTGGTTTGCATTCTAGTACTGTCCCTCTGACCAGGCCGCTGCAGGCACAGATGCTGAGCATGTACAACAGTTCTACAACCTTCTGACAGCCTCCATTGACGTATCCAGAAGCTGGGCAGAAAAGATCCCTGGATTTACTGATCTCCCCAAAGAAGATCAGACATTACTTATAGAATCAGCCTTTTTGGAGCTGTTTGTTCTCAGACTTTCCATCAGGTAATTACTATTATTTTATCTACCTTCAGTTCACTCCTTCCTTTGAAGAACGTCGAAACCTGCTGTGTTTGCAAATGAGTCATCAGAGAGAAGGTTGCTCAGGAAGGAAATATCAAATACGATCAGGCATTAAAAAGCTGAGTAGTGGGTAGTGCATTGGACTGGAAGCCAGGACTCCTGGGTTCTACCCTCAGTTCTAATATGGATTTGCTGTACGACCCTGAGCAGGTGCCTTGCCTCATTGGAAGTTCAGTTCCCTTCTTTGTAAAATGAGGAGGTTGGGTTTGGTGATATCTGAAGCTCCTTGTAATGCCAACACTCTGGGATTCTATAGAGTCCCATGGTGCGTAAGGTATTTCCTGGGAGCACGTATTTGTTGAGAACATTGCATTTACCTCATGGGTTTCTATTTACAAGTCACTGTTCTAGTACACCAGATGGAGCTCTAAAGAGTTCCCACTGCCTCTCAACCCCCAGTGTTTACTCCAAGAGAATAGCTCCTAGATCAAAAGATTTGGTTCAACCTTTCATGCTCAGTGACACTGAACACAAGCGGAAGTTCTTTTCCAAAAAGCCGGGACCTGGAATCTCAGCATGAGTAACATTTTAGATTCCTTGCTTCCTTGCCATTATGTAATTTTAGGAGATGGTACCAACATTTCACCAAATATTATAGAGAAAGAATGTCCCTTCCCCCTCATTCTCTTCCTTACCCTCCCCTCCAATTTCATATTGTGTTAGCAGAAATTCTTGTTTAAAGTGCAGATTCCCATGCCTCATTCCCAGCTATATTGGTTTGTCTTAGAAGAAGCCCACAAATCTGCATTTTAACTCATGCTCCAGTGATTCTGATGCCAGTGGTCTGAGGTCCAGGTTTTAAACTCTGAGATTGAGAGGTCCTTGTGTACCTCTGTGGAGGGATCTGTGGGAGAGACAGGGGGAATTACAACTGGAGTGCCAGTAATTAGCATCATTACAGCTAATCTGCTGTACAAAGGAGCCAAGCCAACGATGTGACTATCATCTGTTAGGCAGGCAGCATAGGATTAAGTCAATGATTAGCTCCATGTGGGCAAGCACTATGCATGCTCTAGTCACCAAGTTTCCTCCAGTGCCTGGCTCTAGGAATGGCACATACGTGGTGCACAAGAAATACTTGACTAGTGAATGAATGAATGAAACTATGCATCCAAGAAACATAGTTATAGATATTAACTTGTTAGTGCAGTAGGCTGAAAGAGATAAATATGTGGAAAGCAATTTGAAAATTAAAGGAAGGCTAAGATTAAAGTTAGGACCACATAGAATTCAGAATTAATTACACCTAAGACTCCTCTTGTATACCAGGCATTGTGCATGATTTCAGATCCTGTATATTATTAATTCCCACAACAATCTTAGAAGGTAGCCATTAGAACTCCTGTTTATACATAAGGAAAAGGAAACCCAGAGAGAGTAAGGGAGCGCCCAGAGCCCCCCGGCTGAGTGGTGATGTCCAACTAGAAGTTCCAGGGCACCTTTCATGAGAGAAGTATGGGATACTTATGGACTGATATACACTCTCAGGACAGATTTAGAAATAGCCCTCTGAGCCCCACTGTGGAAAGCAGGTGAGCCCACAACAGGGCCTGGCAGCTTCCCCAGGGATTGGTGCTCACTCAGGAAGTTAGCACAGACAAGTGGTGGTGGGTGTTCATCAAGGGTGTTTGGGCAGGTTTGACAGCACCACACTGGGTTCTGAACACAGTCTGGGTGCCGTGCGTTATGATGTTATCCCATTGGATAGACTGAACAGACCTATTTAATGTGTTTCTACCCCCTAACCCCCCCCCCCATGACTTTCTCTGGTAGGTCAAACACTGCTGAAGATAAGTTTGTGTTCTGCAATGGACTTGTCCTGCACCGACTTCAGTGCCTTCGTGGATTTGGGGAGTGGCTCGACTCCATTAAAGACTTTTCCTTAAGTTTGCAGAGCCTGAACCTTGATATCCAAGCCTTAGCATGCCTGTCAGCACTGAGCATGATCACAGGTAAGCACCACCCTCCTGTCACCCGAAGCTACCACATCCTCCTTTCTCTCTTTTCCTGTGTTAAGGTGGAGTCTGGCTTCGGCTGTCATACACACCAGAAAATTAGGAAAACGACTGCCACTGTTCTGAAATCTGCGACATTTTACTTAATTTAAACAAGAGACGTATATCTGCAGCTTGTTGTCATGAACCTCCAGGTAGAGAGGGTTCCTATTGAGTTATCATTGTCAACAAGCCCAATATAGGAACATCTAAATTTCCACAGGCGCTCTGTTGAGAGTTGCACTACTGCTTCAGGGTTATCTTCACAAGGGTTTCAAAGGAAAATTAGCTTAGCCAGCCTGCTCCTGTGGGACTGAGGGCAAGTCTTCCCCTCTCCCCAGTCCTTGGCTATCGACCTAAAGTAAAACCAAAGAACTACACATATAAAACACACCTTTAATTTATTGATTTACAACTCTGATTGGCAGGGGAGTGAGAGAATGGATACTTGTAAACAGCAAAAAATGGCTCAACTCAATAATTTTTAAAAGTTAAGAAACAGGAGCATAAAACTTATTCAATTTCTATATTATGCCTTTCTGTCATTAGATGTCTCTCTCTCTTTCTATCTTTTGGGACATAAATGGCATCAAGATGGAATGAGAGGTAGAGAGGGAAAGGGAGAAGGAAAGGGAGAGGGAGAGGGAGAAGGAACTAGAAAGGCATATCGGGTAAGAGAGGAGATTTTATTTTCCTGGGGCTGGTCCTGAGACCCAAGGCCCCAGCTCCCTTTGTGTCTTGATACTTTCAGAGTTTCCAGTGTGATCTCATCCTTCTTGGCCAGACTGGGGCCTGGTGAGGCAGTGACAAGTGGAGGCTCCCTAAGAGGTTAGCCACACCTGGGGCTCACCTCCCATTCTTTTCATCAGACTGAAGCACAGCCTAGGCCCGTGGTCGGCAAACTGCGGCTCAAGAGCCACATGTGGCTCTTTGGCCCCTTGAGTGTGGCTCTTCCTAAGCCTTAGGAGTGCCCTAATTAAGTTAATAACAATGTACCTACCTATATAGTTTAAGTTTAAAAAATTTGGCTCTCAAAAGAGATTTCAATCGTTGTACTGTTGATATTTGGCTCTGTTGACTAATGAGTTTGCCGACCACTGGTCAAGGCTATTGGGCTAAGAATTGAGGTTCAGATTCGATACCATCTTGACTGTAGAAAACATGCTTTTCAGGCAGGTGATGAGTTTCACATGGGACCAAATGCATCTTTTGGCAAGATGGGCCCTTCTTCCTGATCATCAGAGATGTGCATTGTTTCCATGCACTTCTTGGGACCTCACTGTTAGCCAATGTGAGATATGTCTGAGTACCCTAAGATGCTAGGCTGGTTCATCAGTGAACGATTTACATGGAGGAAGAGACAATTAAATGGCATGTGCTACAGTAGGAATCAAACACTAGCTTGTTCCCTCGGTATTCCAAGTGGAACTTCACCTCCTCCTGGTGGTCTTTGGTCTTGGCTGAGAAACTCCCTTCTTTTGATGGGACCTGACAGAGATTTGCAAGGGAGACATTAACACAACAAAAATAAAGGCAGTCTTAAAGGCTATGGACTCCATTTAAAGGACTTTCAAATGGCATACGGGGGCACCCGTAGAAAAGTAAGCACATTCAAGGACAAGCATATCACTCCAGCAGGACTGTAATGAAATGGGTTCAAAGGCTGTCTTTCAACTAAAGCTCTTCAGCTCAGTTTCAAAACCATTCAGCTCTTCCTAGGACAGTTAAACATTCAAAACTGGGGAGTATGGATTTTACTTAATTAAGAAAAAAACACACAGAAACAAAATCTAGAGTCAGCCTTGGCTTTCTGTAAATAAACCCAGTGCACTGCCACGTCTCTATGGAAATCAGCAAATCTCTGTAGTTAATCAACAAGTGTTCGCTGATCTAGGCACTCTGGCATGTCCGTGGGTTTTCAGAGATAATGCATGTGATACAAGGTATTGAGTGCCGTGGTGGGGATGAGGGAGTGGGTACAAAGTGCTGAGAGACCAAAGGTGGGGGGTGGTCTCTCAAAAGAGGTAACATGAGGTCTTCTCAAAAGAGGATACGATATCGCCAAACTAAAATGGAAGGAGCATGATTTCTAGGCACAAATAAAAATTTGCTAAAGCCATTGAAACTGTGGCTGTTATAAGTTCCAGGATGGAAATCTCTAAAAAGAGGAGAGTGATGGGAAATGAGACTGCCATGCTAGGTAAGGGTGGGGTCGGACATGAAGAACCTTTCACGCCTAGGTGAGAAGGTTGGAGTTGATCTTGAGAGCGGTGGGGAGCCACAGGAAAGTTTTGACCAGAGCAGCATCATGTGGAAGCTTGCACTTTAGAACGACCTGCTCTGGCAGTGGGTTCTGAGCACAAATTGTAGCAGAAAAGAGACTCCAAGGGAAAAGGCCAGTCCAGGTGTGAGAGCTGTAGTTTAAGAGGCGGGCCTGAAGTCTATGTCTTTGTTTGTTTGTTTGTTTTACTCTTTAAGTAAATATTAGTAGACAACTGTGAGGCCAGGAAGTCCCAACCTGGAGAACATGGGACAGTTCAGTGCTGAGAATACAGAGTAGGGATTAGACAGTGATGGCGAACCTATGACACACGTGTCAGAGGTGACACGAGAACTCATTTTTTTGGTTGATTTTTCTTTGTTAAATGGCATTTAAATATATAAAATAAATATCAAAAATATAAATCTTTGTTTTACTATGGTTGCAAATATCAAAAAATTTCTATATGTGACACGGCACCAGAGTTAAGTTAGGGTCTTTCAAAATGCTGACACGCCGAGCTCCAAAGGTTCGCCATCACTGGATTAGGAGAAGGTGCTGCCAGTCCTGTCTCTGCCTGCACTTTGCTGTGTGTCCTGTGGTTATGGCTGCTCAGCCCGCTGCCCATTGTGTGGAGACTTGCTCAGGAAGGAGGGAGCTCATACCAGTCTGTTATGGCAGATATAGCATGGACTTTGGGATCCAGCATCTCCCTCAGGTTTTAATCTGGGATCCCCTATTTAATTAGTAGGTGCCATTGAGTAATACACTTTATTTCTCTGAACCTCAGTTTCCCCATCTGTAAAATGGGGAAAGCAACATGTATTCCATGAGGCAGCAGTAAGGATTATGTAAAATTAGGTTTGTGATGCAGCCAAACTGAATTCAGAATAGGCAGTCGATCCACCTGTGTTCCATCCTGGAGGGATGGTGACAGGGACTCCCTCAAATAGGCATATGCCTGTCCCTTCCCTTTGGGGTCCAAAAATCAGTCTCAGTGACATGAGGAAACTGGTGGTGGCTTTCGAAGGCAGTGTGTTTGGTGAATTTCTCCTTGGATGTTTGAGAGAGGCTCAAAAAAGGACAGTAATATTAAAGTAATTATGCTGCACTTAAAAGAGGCCAAGTCTTTTATGGTGGAGTTCCAGGTCCCGCCCGCAGCCCTGCCAGCCTGTGCAGGGCGGGTTGTTTTAGGTGCTGTGGTTATAACATAAGTCCCCCTGCTCTCCTTTCTGAACCTGACAGTAATCTTTTTGTGATTTGCTGGTTGGGAAGGAGTTTGAAATGTGTGAAAGCATCAGGAAGTGGCAGCAAAGACAATGCCTGGGAAACAGCAGTGTGTCTTGTTGTGGATATTAATTTCATTTGAATATAGGCTCCCGTGAAATCTTGACTTCTGAATGAACTCCATTGATCAAAAAGGGTGATTGTGGGATATCAGTTGGGCTATTGGCATCAGAAAGCAGACAACACAAAATTGTCTGTTCCTAAACCACAGTGAACTCATGAAAGGAAATGGGATCTTAAAAGTCAAACCCATCTTGCTTCCAGGAAAATTAAGTATCTGGACAGTATTGCTAGTTTGTACAAACATGGCTCTTTTTTTCTTTTTCTTCTTCTTCCTCCACCTCTCTCTATGTGACTGGTGGTGAGGTGGGGCAGGAAATGGTTTCTTTCAGATCACTCTTCCTCCGTACAGTAAAAGGGAGTTCCCCACAGTTGTGGTTGTGAAATGTTTTTAGGTCCCAGTTCATCTACCCTACCCATTCCTTTTTGCCAGTGCCATATCCCTGTCCCAGGAGTAATGAAAGTGCTTAGCTTCTGATGGGATACCAATGAGGTGATATCTGGTTGCAGTTCATTGTGATTAGCAAATAAGAAGCCCCCCCAAATAGAAAGTTTGTGTGAAATTGTCAGTTTATAAGTATCCATTCATTAAAAAAAAATATTGAGTTCTGTCTATATTTCAGGCACAGTGTCAATCTCCAGGGATGCTAAGATGAGCCATGCATGAATTCTGCTGTCAGAAATTATATAGGTTACTAGGAAGTCATATCTGATTATGATGCAATGAACTCATTTATGGTGGTTAGTGCTCAGGTCCTTAAAAGGGACAGAGTCAGTGCAGGGGAAGTCCAGATTACTGCTAACATTTTGGGGGTGTAGAAAGTTGGAGGTGCTGATCATGAATGGCTTCCCAAGGAGGTGGTTTCTAGACATGGCAAGATCTAGAGGAAGGACATTGCAAACCAAGGGAACAGCATAGCAAGGTCATGAAAGTGGAACATTTCAGCACATTTTGGGGAAAAGTGGAAATTGCTTTGAACATTTGTTAAACCACATATAAAATTTCATAGCAAGAAGAGAAAAAGAGGACAGGCTCTTGTACTCAATGACTGTATGTCCTGGAGTGAGCATGAGAGTGAATCCGCTGTGGGGCCTGGTCTCTGTGCTCCTGGCGTCTCCCATGCAGTAGGCTTGGTGCTGGAGATGCGACCGTGAGCAAACACAGTCCGTGCCCCCGTGGAGCTTACATTTAAAGGAGGAGGCAGGTAATAGTCACATCAATGTCTGATTTCAACCTATCCTTCAGGAAAAAAAAATAGAAAAAATAATCTAGACTGAGAGTAAAAGGGAAAAACTTCCTTGAAAAAAATGTGATCTGTGATTTAAGAATGAGTAGATTTTCACTAGGTGAAGTTGAAATCTCTCTCCTCTCTCTCTCCTCTTCTTCCGTGCCTCCCCTTCTTCTCTCTCTTAGCAGAGATGTCTGTGGCACGGATAGCTAAATACTCAGTAATCCAGCAGTGTCCTTAGGTACCATACAGGTTAGAAGTGTGATCTGTGGTCTGTTTTAAATATTTGTTGAAAGAAGTAATTAATCAATTAGCTAATGAGGTACACAAAGTGTAGGAGGGAGTTACAGGGAGGGTACACAAAGTGTAGGAGGGAGTTACAGGGAGGCTGAACGATGGTATTTCGGGACTTGGAGTGAAAGAAATTAACCACTTGTTCATTTTGACCATGGGCAAGGAACTTAACTCCCTGAGCCTTACCTGATCTATTAAATAAAGATTATGTGTGTCCTGCCTAATTCAAAGGGTTATTGTGAGGGTGTGATAAAATAATCTAGGTAAAAGTGTTGTAGAGAGTGCTTTCCAATCTACAGGGGCGGGCAAAAGTAGGTTTACGGTTGTGAGGATGCAAAAGAGAGTTTATTCTTGTATTATTTATTAATTATTTCATTATTTTCCATACGAACAACTGTAAGCCTACTTTTGTTCACCCCTGTATTTTGGTTATCAGGTGAAATAGTAAACTCCTAGTCCAGCTGGTGCCCAGCATTCTCTGTAGTATCTCGTAGTGGAGATTCTTATCTGAGGTGGGAGTTTGAACTAAATGACTCAAATTGTTTTGGTTCTGACACATAAATTCCTTACTTAACCATTTCTAGAAGTTGTATTTTAAAGTTTTGACTGCATAAAGCTGAGTTAGAAGACTGAAGTATTGGATAAAAATGATGTAGATCAAAATGCAAGAAACACCGAGAAGCTTGTTTTGTTTAATGGTGGACAAAGATCTTAAACTAAAACCTGTGTATAATTCCTAGGGAAGGGGAAAATTTGAATGTCTGATTTCCTCCTGAATTAGTGAACTCTCGGAATATCAGCTCTGCAGCCATGTTTACCAAGCTGCGAGAAGAAAGGGGGTCCCTTAAGCTAAAATGTCAGTGATTGGGGTTTTGAGGAATTTCAAATTACTAGGAAGCGCCTAGACACTTAGTGACTCCCTAGTGATTTGAAAACCTTGCTGGCTGCTGGCAGTAGTTTGCATGGAGACTGAATTTTGTCTCAGCCCTTTTGAAAAAGTAAAGAAGCCACAAATCCAGTAGCTGTTCAGAACAACAAAGGAGGTGCCTCTGGCTTCTAACAGGAGTGTCTGAATTCCTCAAGGAATTCCAGGCCTAGGGCTGATCCAGCTGGCAGGAGGTATCGATCTCCACTTGAATTCACTGAATAAATAATGGTTGCCATAGTTATTGAGCAGTCACCACTGGTTGGAGAGCAGGGAGAACTCAGAGGCACCTTTTGTGAGTCTGGCCATGAGAAAGTCTAGTTACAGGGCTCCATAATCAACTCTTTCCCAAAATCCAGCCATCAACATCGCTCAGTTCCTTTATGCTGATCATGAATATGGTATCTTGAATATAATTCAAGACATGAGGCGTGGAAAAGGAAAGCTTAAATCAATGGATTGGTATTTTATTCTGGGAGAAGCACCTCCCTCTGGGCTCTGAACCTAATTTGAGACGGCTCAGTATTAATAGAATGTACTGTCAGCAAGATGATTGTGTGATCAGGTTGCAGCTAGGAGAGGGCTTCACAAAGGATCGAATCCCCGTTTGTTCTATTTTAACATTGTTTGTTAGACAAATAACATTAGCCTGGAAATTTAAAAAAAAAAAAAAGGTAAGAGTTATCTGACAATCTCATAAATATTTTCACTTTTCCGTTTTCTTTCATACTTCTCTAGATGAAGAAATAATTTTTACATAGATGTAATCGCATCTTAGAGACCATTTCATATTCTTTTCTCTATCTAATGTGATGTTATGTATTTTTCCATGTTGCTTCATTAACGTTAGTAATTTGTCCTTTCTGATGTCTATAGAACCTTCCATTACGTGGGCATACTATTTTTACTTAATGGTTCCTCTGTTCTTCCACCCTTTATCTTTTCCTAGTTTTTAAAATAGATAATGCTTATCCAAAATATCTTCATGCATACAGTTTTATTCTCCTGTTGAGTTTTTCTTTCAGATAAATTCCCGTGAGTGGGATTACTTGGTCAGAGGCAACGAACATGTTAGAGCTCTTAAAATATACTGCCAAATTTGCACTCTGTTTTTGTTTTGTTTTTGTTTTGTTTTTTGCTTTGGAGGGCAAATAAAACTTTTAGGCAGAACACTATTGCAGGCTGGATTACTCTTGAAGTTCACTCTTGAGTGCATGTGTTGAGTAAAGGTAAACCATGGGGACAGATCTGCCTCTCGACTGATTTGCTAGTTTCCTGGAGAAAGCAAAATTATACACTGCAAAGCTTGGGAATTAGGGGACTTTATTGGTTTTTTTGTTTTGTTTTTGACGATATCATTTGCCACATGTCAGGCATTGTCTTAGATTTACAATCCATTGAGATGCTGCTGGCAATGTTCATGGTTGGACCTGAATATAATTTTAACACCTCAAAGCTGGAAGGGACCTTAGAGGTCATTAAGCCCAACCTCCTCCTTTTAAGATGGGCCCTAGAAAGGGAAAAACTCAAACGCGACTAGCCAAGCTGGGGAAGAAGGCAGATCTCCTGGTCCCCAGGCCTCCTTTAATTTAGGGCAAGAGAGGAAGGAAAAAAAATGTCTGGAGAGTTGCTTCATTTTTCTGATGACTTATGCTTTAAGAAAGTAACTTTTGTAACAAAAATATTCCCAACTAAAAACATTAATGTTGGGAAAATTAGAAACTCAAACGTGATTTCCAACTGGATGGATGTTTTTCATCTCTCACAAATTATTATTTTACATGTAAATGTACTGAGAGATGAAAACTTTGACTGAGATAACTGGGGCCAAGGTCTTCCCAGAAACCCTGAATTAGGTATGTTATCATCTTCATTTTATAAGGAAGCCAGGGCTGAAAGGTTAAGGGACTTATTCAAGGGCACACAGTGAGTGACAGACTGGGATTCAAAGAACTACCTCTAAGAGGGAGGGCACTTTGTAAAATGCCATCTCAACTGGCAGAACAGGACACAGGCCTTGATTAGGGATTCACAGTTTCTTAAGACGGAACTGCCTCCTAAACGCGTCCTTTTCTATGCCTCTGCAGAACGACATGGGTTAAAAGAACCAAAGAGAGTGGAGGAGCTATGCAACAAGATCACGAGCAGCTTAAAAGACCACCAGAGTAAGGGACAGGCCTTGGAGCCCACGGAGCCCAAGGTCCTGGGCGCCCTGGTAGAACTGCGGAAGATCTGCACCCTGGGTCTCCAGCGCATCTTCTACCTGAAGCTGGAAGACTTGGTGTCTCCACCTTCCATCATCGACAAGCTCTTCCTGGACACCCTGCCTTTCTGAGAGGAGCAGCCTGAGCAGGGAGCCGCCTCATCTGCTAGCGCCTGCTTGCTACGCAGCAGAGGGAGGGGTCTGGACACCTACCATTCCTGTCCTTCCTTAAGAGAAAAAGCAGCTCCTGACAAAATGAAAGACTTTTTTTTTTTTCTGGCACTTTTCCTTACAACCTAAAGCCAGAAAACTTGCAGAGTATTGTGTTGGGGTTGTGTTTTATATTTAGGCTTGGGTTTGGGGTGGGGAGGGGGGTTATAGTTCATGAGGGTTTTCTAAGAAACTGCTAACAAAGCACTTTTGGATGATGCTATCCCAGCAGGGGAAAACAAAAAAGGATAATATAACTGTTTGAAAACTGTTTCTGGGGAATACAATTACAGTTGCTTTGTATTTAAAAACAAGAACAGCCAAGGGTTGTTCGCCAGGGTAGGACCTGTCTTGAGATGATCGCTTTTAGAATATACTTCCTGTATCAAGGGTACGTATGTGGTGCAAACAAGGCAGAAATTCCCTCGTCTTAATTTCTTTCTTCCTTTATTTTAACAAATGGTGAAAGATGGACGATAACCTATAAATCAGACATAGCAAAATGATAATGGCTGTTCGCTTCCATATACAAGTGCAATTTTTAAAGTGCTGTCTTACTAAGTCTTGTCTATCAACTCTCCTTTATTTTATACAGAAATAAAAAGGAGGCAAGTTAGCAAAGGACAAGTGCTAATTTCCTAGCAGAGGTTTTTGTCCACCTGCCCTATAGACCCCTTCTGAGGTATGGTCCATCCAAGATTTCGGGCCATTCTTACGGATCCAGATCCCTGCCCTGATTGTCCAGCTGTCCCAAAGGGGGCTCAGATTATAAGATGGATTACATACAACTGTTTTGGTTGTGTTCTATCAACCCATCCAGAGTTTCCTAAACTTCCTTCAGTTATAGCAATTGACTGACACAGTCATGCAGAAGCCCAGCCGCGTTCAGTGAGTCTCAAGTGTTTGGTTCCTAGGTAAGAACATGCAAAAAATAGGAACTGGATCATACAGGGTAAACACCAGGGGTAATAAGGTTTTTAATATATACAATTTAATTTTTGTTATCAGTTACAGAGACAATTATGGAGAGTAAGCAAGTCTTATTTTTTAAAAAGTAGTATGAATGTGAGTCCTAGGAAGGATTAATGGGCTGCGTTTCAACATTCCGTGTTCGTACTCCCTTTTGTATGTTTATACTGTTAATGCCATATTACTATGAGATAATTTGTTGCATAGTGTTCTTATTTGTATAAACATTTGTATGCACGTTATATTGTAATAGCTTTGCCTGTATTTATTGCAAGACCACCAGCTCCTGGAAGCTGAGTTACAGAGTACTTAAATGGGGTGTTCACAGTGACTTGGATACGCCAACTAGAAATTAAATAAGCAAATATATATAAATATAGCAGGTTACATATATATATTTATAATGTGTCTTTTTATTAACCATTTGTACAATAAATGTTACTTCCCATGCGGTTATTTTATGGTTCATTTGCAGTGACTTTTAAGGCAGTACTGTTTAGCACTTTGATATTAAAATTTTGCTTATGTTTTGCTAAATTCAAATATAATGTTTGAAGATTTCTAGGTCTAAAAGTCTTTATATTATATATTCTGTATCAAGTCAAAATATGTTTGGCCATTTTGCTAAGAAACAAACTTTGAATGTCAAACTGATGTCACAGTAGTTTTTGTTAGCTCTGAGTCATTTTTGCTTTTTAAAGGAAAAGTAACAAAACTATGCTGTTTATATTGTCATTAAATTATACAATCAAACAAATGCCAAATGAATTGCCTAACTGCTGCAAAGAGGAACCCAGATAGCGAACCATATATGTTTTTCTTCCAAGAGTCATTCTGATAGTTGATCATATATTATGTTTGTGTGAGCTTTTATGAAAGATTATTATTTTTATATCAAGATGATAGCATCTGGAATGTTAGGATCTTGGAATGTTAAAACTTGGAAGGGGCCTGACTTGCCAGCTAGTCCACCCCAACCCCAAAATTCACAGAGGAGAAAATGGACCCAGCAAAGGGTAAAGAGTTACCCAGGTCAAAGAGCTAGTACCAGAATCAAGTCTAGGACCTAAGTCTCTTTTCCATAGTCTTTTTACTCAACTTACTGCATCTATAGGAAAACAGGCTTTTTAAACTAACCAGAAATACTTACATTTTACCTAATAATAACCACGAGTAAAGTAGTACTTTTGCATTAATTTTTTTCAGCTTATATGCGAACATAATAAACATTATTCGATATCAGGAAAGCTAACATTTCATATAAGGTAGCTTCAGACCAAATTCAAGTTGAATTTGAATGAGTTAGAAGTACTGTGCATACATAATCCTTTCGTGCACCATTAGTATTGGAAAGTCAGTCCTTGTTTTTTTGTCATGTCTGAAAAAGAAAAACACACACACAGAGCTCTAGAGAAATGCTGTTACTTTTTATTTTTACACCCATCGGATTTAAGGAAAAAGACCTTTTAACCGTAGTATCGATTGGTTGGAAGCAATGAAGATTTTTAGTGATAGGCCCAGACACATAGTGCTGAAAATAAAGATGATAGCCAGTGTTCTTCCGTCTTCCATAGTCATTGCAACTACGAGAGCCCTGGGAGGCTCCCACGCCATCTATCAATTCAACTCTCTTTTTTTGTCTTCATGTGGACACACAAGTGTATACAGAGTGGATGACCGAACTAGCTCAGAAGAGGACAGCAAGAATTAAAGCAGGTGATTCCTCCCTTGGGGAAGAGCTCTCTCAGCGTGAACAGGCCTCCTGTGGGCGGAAGTCCGGAATCCACCAGCTGTTAGTGGAGAGTGCCTTGCTTTCATTTCAGACAGCAGAGTTTTCCAGAGTTCCTCTGCTCCTCAGACAGCATTGCTCTTTAGTATGTGTTAACCTGTGGTTTGAAATTAATGCTCTTGTACATTAACAATGTAAATTTAAATGATTAAATTAAATTACATTTTATCAGTGGCTACTGGTGTGTTGAATAAGCATGCTTCATTTACCAGTATTTTCTTAATCACTTATGTACTAGTCTTTGCTGTGAACTCTTAAATACATCCCCAGATTGATTTTTTTAAAAGGCTTACTAATGCTGAAAAATTAATAGACATTCCAATTGGAAATATATTAAACCTCACTGATTGGGAAGAAGGACGGTCTAAATTCGATAACCATTTATTGACTATTTCCTGCAGGCAAAGCACTGTTGGGTGCTTTGAGGAGATACAAATGCACAGTTGTATGAAACTGTTTTTTGTTTCAATTGTATATAACTTAAATGGAGCTAACAATTTATCGTCTAAGTGTATTCTTTAGGGGTATGGAGGATTTGTTTCCATATCAAGATGATGGGATATCAATTGTTTGTGAATCAGAATTTACAAGAATAAGGTTAGAGTTCTCATAGATTGATTGGTACTCTGCCTTTTTGCAGGAGCCATTACTACTACATTGCTAGACACCCCTCTCTGTGGGCAACGCAAATGCAACTTTCATTCAACTCTACCCCACACAGCATATATTGAGTTAGTGCAAACACATTTTTCTGTGTTTTGATGGTTCAAAAAGAGAAATGTGGAGCTCTCGTGATTTACTTCATCAGTTTATGCATAAAGCATTTTCTGTGACATCTAAGTGCCATGTGTGGTCTAAAAGCCAAACAAAACATCTTTCTGCTGCTCAGCAGTACTTTCATTTCCTCAGCAATAAAATATGATTAGTAAGAAAAAATGAGAGATAATGAAGCATCATCTTGCATATGAATTTAAATATAGGGGCTTGGCAAAAAAAAAAAAGGAAAGAAAGGATGCTAGGAGCAAAAGTTTGGTTTTGAATGGGTAGAGAGGCAAGAAGGTCAGGATTAAATAAGGGGTACTTGCCTGTAGTTGAATTTTCATAAGTTAAATACACAAAGATAATACAAGAAGCTAAATGTTGACTTCTTTAAAAATTGTGGTAAGTCCAGCCACGGTGGCTCAGTGGTTGAGTGTCGACCTATGAACCAGGAAGTCATGGTTCAATTCCCAGTCAGGGCACATGCCCAGTCTGCAGGCTCAATTCCCAATAGGGTGTGTGTAAGTGGCAGCCAATCAATGATTCTCTCTCATCATTGATGTTTCTATCTCTCTCTTCCTCTCTGAAATCAAATTTTAAAATAAATTAAAAATTGTGGTAAGATACACATAGCACCATCTTCACCATTTTTAAGTATATGGTTCAGGGATGTCGAACACATTCACCAATGTTAACTAGTCTTCAGAACTCTTCACCTTGCAAAACTGAGACACCTACAGTCTTTGTGCGAACATGTTTCATTTCTTTAGAGTAAATACATAGGAGTGGAATCATTCGCTGGGTAGGTTTAACTTTATAAAAAGCTGCCATGCCTTTTTTACATAGAAATAGAATATTTGGCCACACACATGGCCATTCAGGAAACACATGTTTCTCTCATACTTCCATGCAGGGGTGGTCTTGGCAGTCTGTTCTGGTCAATGGAATATAAGTGACATTGTCATCTGGGTACTATGTCCTATATACCTCTCTCCTTCCAGGTGGCATCTGACAGCAGACTTCTAGAGACATTATTGTCTGGCCCCAAAAAGTGTCTCTGTGGGTAGAAATTTCAACTTGGAGAAGAATCGAGAATAGTATCATGATAGGTGATATTTCAGGTAGGCTCGTGATAGCCCTGGTCTTGGAATATGTCTGATTTATACTGTAACCCATATTAGCTGAGGCCTCTTTTCTTTAGGATCTAGAAGGATTGTTTTGAACTCCCTATTCCACAAATAGGGAGGTCCAAAGACCTCCTCGTGATATCTTCAAATTCTGCCAATTTTTACATTAGCCCTGGCTTTAAGGTGCCACTTCTGTTTGCTTAGCTCTGTTAATGAACTATCTTGCTGTACTTCTTTCTGGTATCATCCCTATTTCTGGTAGTACAACTTGGATCTTTCCTTAATTTCCACCTCAAAATCATACATAAGACTTTCCCAAGTTCTAGAAAACTATCTTAAGCAATACCTGGTGTCATTCACCTATTCTTACTCTTCCCTCTCCATCTTCTATCTGGAACATGAATGTTACTTAGACTATAGAGATAAGGGTACCTCCTCTAGGAAATGCGGAAAAATAATTTGGAAGGAATCCAGGTCTCTGAGTTTTGTGGAGAAGAGCTACCCTTTTAAGTCTTGGGTTTCTTAAACTTTTCATGAGAAAGAAACTTCTTGTTTAAATCACTGTTATTTAGAGTTTTTCCATTATTGAAAGCTGAACTAAAATCCCAACTAAGATACACAGGACATAAGAAAAATAGCCCATATGCAGCATAGGTTTTTTTTGTTGTTGTTTTTTTAAAGTGCCAGGAGTATTAAGGATAATGACTCAGTGTGAATCAGTCATGTTTTGAGCCTACCAAAAAACAAACAAACAAAAAAACAAAACTCAAAGACATCTTAGGTCACAATTATTTGTTCATTTATTAATTCCTTGATTCATTCACCTTTGGATTAGGTCCTGTTTTTCTGCTTCTTCGTAACCTCATAGACCGGATGCAGCCTGCCCCCTCATGGTCGTAATTCTCTCTGTCTTGTGGTTCTTCTCTTATCACTATCTAATTTCACTTTTGCCACTCACCACCTTATTCAGTATTTTCCAATTCCTATTCCTGAGAGAGAAAATGTAATCGGTCCAGCTCAATTTTTCATGCCAGGCCAAGTGAGATCCCTGAACAATCTGTGGATTTGGTGCCCTGGGGTCATGGCTGGTCCAATCAGCTGTGATTGAGGAAGAACATGCATTGACCCTTCGGAAAATATTATAACTTGAATAGTTTCTGTTTGTAGGGGCTGTGATTATATTGTCACTGTGACTAATATGTCTAGTATAGTAGGAAGCTTGACTTGCTCATGGGGCCAATTGTAGAGGACAGTTTTGGTAGAATCATTCTTTCTCAATCTCTTAAGGGCCTAGCACAGCGGTTCTCAACCTGCCTTTGGGGGTCGAATGACCCTTTCATAGGGGTTGCCTAAGACCATGGGAAAACACATATATAATTACATATTGTTTTTGTGATTAATCACTATGCTTTAATTATGTTCAATTTGTAACAATGAAAATACATCCTGCATATCAGATATTTACATTATGATTCATAACAGTAGCAAAATTACAGTTATGAAGTAGCAACGAAAATAATTTTATGGTTGGGGGTCACCACAACATGAGGAACTGTATTAAAGAGTCGCGGCATTAGGAAGGTTGAGAACCACTGGCCTACCATAATGCCTGGTTCCCTGAAATCCTTAGAAAATGCTTGTTGAGTAAATTCAAGTTAATATTTATTGATGGGGGTGGGAGATGGGAAACATACCAAATTCTCAAGAGACAGACTATGTCATGATTTCCAAAGCTGGTATCTATCTAGAGCCAAAGTGTCTAGTTTCATATTTTTCTGAACTTCAATGCAAAAAAAAAAAAAGATAGAGAGAGTGAAAATTAGCACAACCTCAAGCAAGGTTTGTTTTTTCCTTTCCTTTAGAAAGCAGCTGTCAGTTTAACTTATCCCAAAATACTGTCAGTGATGAGCATGACTGAAAATGCATTTTATCTGTAATTAGAGAGATTACATTAAACACTATTATTTGCAGACACACATTGAATTAACCCTAATTGAGGCTAGCAAATAGTAGAGCCTGCCTATTTTTTGCCTCAAAAATTTTAGAAAATTGTGACAGTTGACACACGAGGGACGATGCTGACGATATTTCTTTCCATCAAATGCCAGACAGTAATTGTAATTGCCTTTAAAAATATTTTAAGCAGTTTCTTTAGTAAATCAGAAGTTGCCACAAATCATGCTGATAGTTTCTAAACATGGGATTGTTGACTGTGCATTCCAATATGAGTTTAATGAATTGATTTTCTAAGGAATTTAACTTTGCATCTGTTTTCAGGTATAATTAATTCACTGTGGTTAATGTGATTAGCATGGATATCAGTGGATTATACATGATCCCCTTTATTTATTCACTTATTTTTAATCTGCCATACTGTCCATTGGGAAATTATGTAAGTTTTTGGGGAAAACATCTTGCTAGTAGCTTTGATCACATTGGATTTCTGCAAAGCAGAATCCTGGCAGGAATTCACTGATTATTCACAGACTGAATCAATGTACTCTTGTTTGAGGGACCTATTAAAGTTTACACAGTCCCTGTCTTTAAAGAGTTTATAATCCAGAGGGGAAGGTGAGACAAACATTCTAATGAAAGTCATTGTAAGAAAAAAAAAATGGCTATACCCAAATTCTTCTTCCTCTGAGCACCTACCTCTTCTCTCCCCTGCTCTCCTTAAATAATGCTATTACCTAGGGGATGTCAATGGCCTGCCTCTCCTCTAATACTTCCCACTATCCTGGGTAGTCTTATTCATGGCTTCAACCACCACTTTTGAATCTATATCTCTTACTCAGTCCTTATCTCTGAGCTCCCAACCTGGAGGTTCCAGATGCCTCCAGATATCTTCACCTGTATATCCCACAGGTACTTCCAGTTTAACATACCAAACCCAAGTCTGTGATCTCCATCCAGAGTTGCCCCTCCTGCCCTCCCAATCTCTGTAAGTAGTTCCTGTATTCACCCAGTTGCCCAAGCCAGAGATTTTCAACTGGTGTGCCCCAAGAATTTTTAAAACATATAATACTTGACTATTTAGTCAGAGGCCCTGACCTCTTTTCCCTTAGATCCGTGGTCGGCAAACTGCGGCTCGCGAGCCACATGCGGCTTTTTGGACCCTTGAGTGTGGCTCCTCCACAAAATACCACATGCGGGCGCACATACAGTGCGATTGAAACTTCGTGGCCCATGTGCAGAAGTCGGTTTTCGGCCT